TCATCATCAGTTGAGTTCAGATCAGTCGCTTTATAAGAAAACAAATCAGACATTCCGATAGTTCAGATATGTATGTCTTGTTTTCGCTGTAATATTATAATATTATATTATTATTATTATTATTATATAATTTGTCTTGGTTAATTCAGTTACTAGCAATATAATATCTAACACATCTATCTTCAAGAATTAGTAACGTTTGATATCCGCGTTCTTTGAAATAGTTTAGCGATTTTTATTTTGTCTTTAATCTTATACGAAATACTTTCCCTGGCCGTTTCGTATAAAGTTCTTTACTCTGTGAACGTGCGGTATTATACACGAGGTGTTGGCGGCGTGATGGCGCCACGGCGGCAACCGCGGCGCCTGCCATCCTACCAGTTGCAACTAACTAAATACAACTTTAAATCTACCTCCCACAGATCAAAATCGACCACGAGCACCTTTGCACCTTCCATCAGCTGTGATTGTTTGCAAAAATACGCTTTCCAACCTTACTAACAACCGTATAAAGTCGGTTTTCCATATAAACTTGTTCTAATTCTTCGATTTTGAATTCCGAGTACGGAGCAAAAGAAAGCGATATTTTTTTTAAGAGCCACTCAAATGTCTTAGTATTTTAATAATATTAATTTGATTCTTAATGTAATTTTAAAGGTGTTTTAAGAGCATGCATCATAAGGTTATTTTCAGTATTTTTAAACAGTTATCTTTTTGGGTTAACTTTTCAAAACCTAAGAACGATGTAGTTACTACAATGTAGAGACAATAAATTGAAGCATTCACATAAATAATTTATTATTAATATTACTGTTTTCTGCGAAATATCACGTAGGTAATTTTAATATTGTCTATAATTTTCTCTTTCTACAACCATGATAGAAAATTGTCAAGCATATTAACAAAGTGGCCTTGACATTTCATTGTCTGTTGTACTTGCATTTTATCGAAGGTTTAGTCCAAAATGAAGATTCCATCTGGCTTCAAACCCATCGGATGAAGATATAATGCAAGTCATAATCATAATGATGACTATGTGATAAGCGTTTCTGACGTTTGGTTCCATCACTATGACATTGCTATACTTAGTTGAGAATTGAACAGATAGATGCTTTATCTTGTGGTCATGAACTCATTTCAAAATGTACGTTTGCGTAGTGATCTAGACTTTATAGACACAACCATTTACGGAAACGTTTGACTTTTTATGAAAAAGAAATTGTTATTTCCAAGCAGCAAAAACTTGATCTCGGTGACAAGTGGAACTCTGAAGACTATTTGTGCTATGTTGTAGGTGAACAAGATTATGTAAGATGTGCTTTTGAGAGTCAATACTTTTTCATCATTACGTTTAATATTTATAATAATTGTATGCGCATGTATCTTGTTGATTTTTCAATGCAACGACACACGATGGCGGCGTCTTTATCGTCTTAACGCGTTCAGATTTGGCGATACGAGATCCTGTTCGTGTTTTTGCTTTTCCACAATTTCGGGGAAGCAGTGTATATTGCCCGCGGCCGCTTATACTGGTTTTGTCATGAATTTTTATCGCCAAAGCTTTTAGTTTCGTCATTTTTGTTAAAATCTCAGTATTTTCTGTGGCTTGTGGAGTTAAAAACCATTTATGATTATAAACTATGTGCCGCTTGCAATAATACTTTTGTTTTGAGGCGGTGAGGATTCATAATTTCTTTAACCTGTATTACAATCTCGTCTTATTGGATGGGATATTTTTTGTTACTTACATACAAGATGGTGAGAGGTTGAATATTCCAGCATATTTAATTGATCAAATAATGGATGCGACTATAAATAATAATTAATATATATTTTTGGAACTTCTATACGCAGATGAATTTGCTGAATTATAAAATTCCTTCCTATCCACCGGCTGAGTCAAAACGTGTCATCTCAAATATTCTCACTGTTTGTACTCCGATTTGAGTAGCGATGGAGGTGTGAAGGGATAACTCCCAAGCAAACACTGGACCTGACGGTAAATACACTTGGATCCGTGTGGGACGAAACCACAGGTAAAGCTTTTGACACCTACAATGATGGAGAATGTGATAGCTCAGTTATGAGGTGATTTTCTGGTATCAGAAACATGAGAACTTGTACGTTTTCTATTTTGGGTTATGTATCATTAGATAATAAGTCAAACATAAGTAAACAACCATCAATTTCTTCCGGCGGCAGGTATTGAGTTCTTCTAGTTTTTGTCTACAGTTTGCAAATACGCCATTCAAACAACGTTCGTATGTTTGGTTTAATTTCCTTGATTGGTTATTTTTATTACGTTATAATTATCAGCCTCCATTCTCTCCGTTGCTCATTGTCGTATCTTTCAAGAAAGTACTCTGTACTAATTAAGATTCAAAGCCAAAAGTTGTAGAAAAGTTATAATCTATTAACGTTTTGTATTGAGCGATTTCAATGTTATCTATTCAAATAACCGAAATTGCTCTGACGATAATAGTTTTTATAAGCCTACGGGTACGAGATCAGGTTATGTGTTATATATATTTCTTTTTAGTGTTTAGCGACGGTTATAGGAAACTGTGAAACTTGGCGCTTTTATATTTGACGTCCACCTTTTTTGTTTGGTTTGTATAGGTTTCTAATAAAAAATAAGGTGTGTGGCTGAATATACGCATATTATTAGCGGGTTTACAGGTTTTTATAACCAATGTCCTTTATTAACATTGGAGGTGAAAATAAAAGAATTAAGATAGTAATATACTTATATAATAAAATTATTTATCATTTCCCCGACAGATTTTAAAATTGTGTATTCAATATTCATTAAGTAATTAAGAAACTTTTTAAGAAATTTTTAGCGCATCAACTGTCATGCTAACGAAGAAAATCTCATAAACAGCATTTAAAAATATATGAAAAAAATTGTTGAAGATTTGGCATAAAAGTAATATAAAAAAAAAGGATTAATCATTGCAATGCAATGGTCAGGAATAATGAGTCCTCCTTGTGTGATAAGTGTAAAGCTCTCACTCCCTTGTACTTAACACAGCATAAATTAAATTCTATCTCTCTAGTCAGCATGCATAATGCTAGCCTAGAAGTGAGTACCAAATGGCATATAATCAATTATTCAATTGAACACTGTTCTAAACGCTTACGCGTTTCGCGTACGAATGGTACCTACGCATTAACAATATTGTGAGTTAGTAAGTCATTTTATAAGTGACCATGTGAACCAATGAGACAGCTTGGTTGAATTGGTTGAAGATTATAGAAAGACAATTTCTTTTTCCGTACAGACATTGTAGTAATAGACAAAAGTTATCTCCGTCGTGGTTACTTGTATTTTCTTGCAGTTTTACTGCGATTCTCGCGTGGCTATTTTGGTAAACTCTTTTGTTTTGTAGATGCGTGTCATTCAGTAACTTACTATGCGAATATTCCGATGGAATAACCGGTGTAAAGAAGTGAACTAAAATAGCTGATATTTTGTAACTGTTCTTTTAGCGTAACTATTAAAGATGTCCTCAACAAAACTGTGGTGGATGGAGACCTATTCCTCGTAGTGGGTGAAATCGGACTGTGTGTGAATATGACAAAACAAACAGTAAAATTTAAAAATTTATCTCTTATTTATAACGTGTGTATCGAAAGTATCAGAAGAAAGTAGACAGCTCTTAGACAAGACATCTTACTGTAAAATGGTTGTGTTACATGGGTAAATGCGCATGCGTGCGTGAGTCACGGCTGCAAGTCGTCGGTCGGCGGTCGGCGGTCGGCGATCGGCGTGCATGTGGAAATAGCCGCGAGTAACAAATGTTCGCCGGCGATGTTCACGACACGACGCTAAGAATGCGACCGGCTGGCGCACCAGTGATGGGTCTCTGTTTTGTCGACATTGGTTAATTTGTATTTATCGATAAAATTCGATGAAACTTTGTGTTATCTCATATATCTCTAGTGATCTGTTATTTTAAAACTAAATAATTGAATTGCGATTATTTGCATAGTCAATTTCTTTTCCTCTTCTGAGAAATTAGCTGTATCTATCATTAAGAAGTGTTAGTAATATACCGAACTTTTTTATATTTATTACACGAGCTATACAAATTATATCGTTTTACATAGGTACTAAAACTGGATTATATGCGGCATATTATGTTAAACAGTATGGAAGCGAAGAGAAGTGCAATCGTAATTTTTATATATTGCAGGTCTCTGAGATAAAATATGGCAAGTCAGGTATCAGGTTACTCTAGATATTAATTTAAACTAACATATCGAGAGTTTTATTAACTGGAACTATACCGAAATTGAGAAGGCGCTATGAAAAAAAGTTATATTTCGTTAAAACTGTATGATGGTAATGAATTTAATGAATCTGAATACATACTAATTGAAACTTTATGCCAGAAAATGAAAAACGTTCCAGAAGTATAAATAACATATTTATAATAATATTAATTTCTACACGCAAAATAAGCGCCTTCACGTCGAGTTGCGGACACCAGCCCGTTACATCCAGTGCCAAGTACCAAGTAATATTAATTTAAAATAGGCTCGGCCAGTCAAGGCAAAGTCACTGTTTAACTATCAATAGATCTTTACAAAATATGACAAAAGCACTTTGCGGAAAAAACACCTTAAACCATTTAAGTGACGATAAAATTCCAATCATATCATGTCGGTCACATCTCTAAAGGGGCGAGACAGGCCTGGCGCCGTACTTTTTTACCCCGGGATCGGTTCTCTGGCCAAGTTTATAACACGCCTCGTCAGTCGACCGTAGACTGTTAACAAGTAAGGATGTGTTCATGTCGTTTCATTCAACCGTTCGAACACACGTTCGAATTATGAAATTCAAAAATGTGTGTTAAAACTTTTTTAAACTGTGTCTTATAAAGTGCCAATAAAAAGATTGCTTTTAGAAGTGCTTATAAACAAATTATTGAAAGTTCAAAAGGATTACTTTGTTGTTTTCGTATTTTTGGATTGCTGAAGGATAACTAGTGAAGATGGCAAGTGCTTTCATTTCAACTTCCGGAGAGCCAGCGGAAGCGGAAGTCAAAGGTAAGTTTGTTTAATTTAAATTTACATTAAGAAGTTCGAACATTTGTTAATTCTTACATTTAATAAGTTTGACCAGTTATAATATACTTTGTTTTGCAGTTTATTTGTAGTAGAGTAAAACCATGAAGTACCTATACAACAATCTTAAGTGATTTATCAATTCTGAAATAAACTTTTGTTAGTATGGCAACTTTACTGCACATATTGCAACAAGATGTAATTATCCGATGTTATTTTGTTTCATAATTGTTCTATTGCGAAAAAATATTAAGTTAGTACTTTGTTAATAATATTAATCGAGGGCCTTTACACGAATAGCGTAACATGTATATTTTCAACATAACTAATCAATATGTCATAATGTAGTTAGTCTGTTATATAATAAATAGTGCACATATCTATTAAGTTCACTATATAATCATATTAATCATATACGTGTTCATTAAGACGTTTAATGTTTCACTGAATTAAACAATTATTTTTCTAATGGAGCCCAGAGAATAATATTGCAATTACATAATTATCTAAGATTTATTAATCGTAGGAATATTTTTCTTGGACTTTTAATTATATATTCAGGTCTTTGTCTAAAAAGAAATCCCATTGGGGATCCGATTTAATTAAAATTATTTTTCTATTCCGGTCGGATCCCACCACAGAAATATTTTTATTTTGGCCGAATCTTCATCTCAAATAGTTTGGATGTCATTTGGATATTTAAGAATAAAATGATTCTTGATTCTGCTGAACGTAGTCTATAACATTACAACACTATAATATGTATAATTGTTCAGATACTTGTAAATGCAGGACAAAGACCACAATTGTGTTTACTATCTTTTCTTTGATTTCAATTCATTGATTGTTATTTATTTTAGAGGTACTCTCCGGTAACACTACTGTTAGTGTGTTTTATTTTACTATCTACGCTTATTATCTTTAGTATTTCGGCTGAGTACTTGATTCCTAAGCCATGAAATAAATAAATAAAGTGTTCAAACAAAGGCAGATTTGCAGAAGGCATTTTTGATGTTTTCAATTTTTTTTAAACAAAAGGTCACCTTTGAATAGGGTAGCTTCTCAATTTGGAGGTAGAATGTCCGAGTATCGGAGGCGGTTTGTATCTAACTAAGAATTTAGTTGCAATACCTATCGCTGTCGGTAAATGGAAACATCGTGAAACGTGCACGTCCAAGAATGTCCACAGTCCTTGGAAAATGGTGGAGTCTCCAACACGCATTGAGCGGATTAACTCTTCTTAAAGGAAACCACAGCAGCGGGAAACGGACTGATGCTGTTGGGTGGCATATGGTTTTGAAAAGTATATAATTATTAAAATATCCTTTTAACAATAGACCTAGAAGATGACTTGCGCGTACGCAGCGAAGTAATAACATATCGTATTATATTGCTGTAAAGATGGAATTTTTAATACTTTCTTCTACTGATATCACGAACATTGGGGAAGAGGTAATATTGGTACTAAAAATTGTGGTAATAAGACAGGCTATAAATAGCAGTATGTACTTTAAAATTGGAATAAGACGGTACGTGTGGCGCCTACCTTCGTAATGCCATCGATGTCCGGAAGCCGTAGATTTACTACTAACCGTTTAGAATCTTAATTACTGCGTTCCACATTTGAATTTGAATAGTAAGACAAGTTTGGCAAAACAACGTTTCCCTTTTTATAATGCATTGACTGAAATAGAGTTTTAGAACACCTGTGCAAAATATCCATATGGGTATTGTACCAATTTCAACCGTCATACTTAATGATAGCCACTATATTCGAATTAGTGATGAAATCCATCAATACTAAATTGATCACTAAAGCAAAAACAAAGGGGTGAGGCAAAAAACAACACATGTGTTAAGGGTGCCAACCCCTAACAAGTGCAAAGCTTTACAAATTTACAGTAGCTATTCAAGAACACGAGCATCACCCTTATGTGTTCAATTGTAAGCGTTATTAGCGTTTTCGTAAATGATGTATGGAAATTTGTATGTTTGTTCACATGTTGCGCGATGGGGGACGCATGAGATTTGAATAGTTCTTTTTGGTCAGCCTTTTTGTTTGTAAAGTAGAATTGATCACTGTAATTTTTAGATTTTTTACTCAAGCAGATACAAATGTACTGATATTTATTTAAGTGTTCAATCTTCATTAAAGAATAGATGCAACTTGCCGCGAAAAGCGATGTGTGCTCAGTATTAGGTTAATATTTTATTTTAGAACTCTAGTATCTACCTTCCTACATGTACGATTAAGTCTTGTAACCAGAACAGTTACATTAAAAGCAATATTTTATTCAAGTTAATCTTTACCTGGGAAGGGTTGTAAAAGTAGATGGAAGAAGCCCTTTTAGCTAACTTAAAAAAGAGGAAAGAACAGTGATTTCGAGGGCTTCCTTAAAAAAGGCAACTTTCAGGTATTCCCAACGGTCCAGTATCCTTTGACAAAAAAGTATTTAGAGAAAATGTTTAAAAAAAGTCAACGTTGTTTGCCTCACTATAAAACAAAAAAAAAATCGAAAAAATATAATTCCATGTCAGTACAGGCGCATGAGGTACAGGCCAGAAGTCTCATACAAATTCAGTCCCCGTCTTGTGTGTTATCCTAATTGTCCATTAGAATCCAGAACATTCCATAAAGATTGTGGCAGAAATGGTATTCAAAATTTAAATCTCAAACGTTTTAAAATCAGAAGCGTTCGATTCGAACGTTTGGTATTTAAATTATAGCGTTTGCAAATTGGAATTGCCTTTGCGGCCTGGTACAGTGGGAACTGAACGCAGATTTTTCCCATCGCATTTTAAATATTGAACTTTCCCTGATCTTTAATAACTACCGTTTTATTTTAATTTTTAAGGTGCTTTTATTAGGCGTCCATTAAGATATATAATAACTTTGATAAGTAATCGTAGAAACTATACAAGTATGAAGTGACACATTTAGAAAGTAATTTCGTCTTGGCTAGTGCTGTCGTATTCCCAAATAGTTTTTTTTTTCAGATGACTTAGAATATAATGTAAATTAACTCATACATTATGTAACCATACAAATTGTATATCAAAGTAAATATTTATTTACCTGGAATTTTATTTCTATTTTAACAACTTAATTACAAATGCTGAATATCCGTATATACTCGTAATATGATTTAACTTTTCTTTATATCTTCAGCGTTAGCAGAAATAACGATAGATTACAAGTGTGAATGTTTTGTTTGAGTAAAAAAAATCTGTTTTGTTTCTTTTTTCTTGTGTGGTATTATTGTGTAATATATTTACTTTCGTTACAATAACCTGAGATTTAAATATCGAACTATATAAACGCAACGCAACTGTTTAGTGGCCATTGTCGCTACATGCAACGCGTGGCCACCAGATGTGGCCCACAGATGTGGCTTAATAACCCTCGTAATGTTTGGACTACGGTCTCTGTCAACTGTTTGACATCTGTATTTGAGCATATAAAGGGGTGTTATGCCCTTTATGCTTCTTAGCAGATGTGACTGATAATTTTGTTTGTCTATTGATAGCATTAAATCAGGGAATAGCAGTCTGCTGTGCTTCCGGCGTACTTTTTATAATTTAGAACACTTTTAAATACCCGTTTTTTTGGAATTTCACTTTTTCGTTCAAGAACGATCACATTGATTGAGTTTATATTTCATATCGTAAATAAGCACAGATCATAAAGCACGTACTGTTGTCGTGATTATTTTCCTGTAGTCAGTTTGCATAAATCATTAAATTATGTCATTTATTTCTTTAATGCGTTGAAAAATTTAGTAACTAATTCACATACTAACAGGATCATTGTTAATTTTTTTGCGCCCGCGCATTTTATACGAGTGACGACATTGGGAAACCCCGACGACGTCGTAGAATTCGGCATAAACAACAGCTTCTTATATTCATACTGTCAACGATGATAACGCCACCAAAAATAAATAAAGTTGACGTATTATGAAATAATAAAATGTTAATTTCTATTGTATGAAGTGAACAGTGGAATGCCCACAACAAGTTCATCTACCTATGATGGTAAACATCATTATGTTACTGTCATCAATTTTTGTGTAATCGAGAATGTACGCATAGCAACAGGAAGCGCTACAATACAATATGCACATAGCGAAGTTATAATAAAAAACTTCATAAATCGAACAGATATATTTTTCTTTTATCGAGAGTTAAATAATTGACTTGTTAAATTGTAGCTAACATGAAAATTAAGCATAATTTTCGTAAATAACGTTGTTTCAAATGAGTAATCATATGAATGCTGTGGAGCAATTCGCACCTTTGATATTATAATAAGACCACATCTGTACAATGACAACTATTCTGGAGAGAGGTTTACTGCACTTTTGACGTATGATCACATGTGACTTTGTGGCAAGGGTACTATGTGGTAGGGGAATTAGTAATCAACCTATCACTTATCGATCTTTTGCTTTTTTCGTAAATACTCTCGAATCAACTCATGCGATATTCGTTTGATTTTATCGTGCATATCCTGTTAGGAGCTTATCAACAAGTTCGCCGCAAACAAACGTCGTATATCCGGCGCGCACGCATTGCACGCTGCACGTGACTTTCTGTTTCAAAATATCGACACGGCTGCCGGAAAATCGATTCTGATATCAGTTATCGATTCTTTGTTGTGGTTATCGATATTTTGCAGCTGAACAACAGCCAATTCAAAATTGGCTGACTTTAATGTAGGCAGTAGTTTCAGCTATGAATGCAACGATTGATGTCCTTTCAGAATATAGGAGCTTTTCTATCAAAAGTAGTTTGATCGTCGATGAAATTTGGCCCCTAAAATACTTGACCTCTTCAATTACCAGTTACCTTATTGGAGTCCATGTTGGCAATTCATAATATACCTACTTATTTCTAAATAAGAAGTTACAGAGCCATAAATCGTTAATAGTATCTCAATCAACACAGTCAATTCTTTTTCATCGTCATTCAGCAAAGTCAAG